AAATTATTTTCAGATCTATATTTAATTAAATTTTTAAATAATCGTTCTTTCCGTGTATATTTTAATCTTTAAATCCAGCGAGGAACTAAAGGCAAGACCCAATCATATTGAAGAATTTTATAACAGTTGCATAGCTATACTTTCTCTGAACACAGCCGTTGTGTATACACACAAGTGGAATAAATGGGATAAACGAACGTTAAAACGTTGAAATTCCAGCGAAATTTCGATTCTCAATGCGGTTGGAAAAGTTGAGAATCGACTGTCGGTCGTCGATCGGAGTTGCTTCTTATATAAGAGCTGCCGGTAAAACGAAATTACGTAAGCCATTCGTATTAGCACTGATAGCAAGGAAAACGCTCGCGAATAGTGCGTGACGATTGGCGTGAAATGAGAATAGTCGTCGCATGGCGTGAGCGATAGGAGAATAGGAGAATTATCGCGTATTATTGTTCGTGCGACTAAAAAGTCGAGTGCAAAATTTGACCAATTTATTTGTCTTCGCGAACACAAGAGAACTCCATTTAATCATATTTTTTTCCTTGAAAAGCGAACGAGCGAGGCGATCATTTATTACCGTTGTATATCCTGTTTTTAATATTCTGCACGTTTCTGCGCTGAGAAATGAGAGTCGCTCGATCATTCGTACAACGATCGTCCGCTCGATATTTCTTTAAAATGGTAAACAAATGGCTGTAACGCTCCCCGGAACTTGAGGTTATCGATGTCGGAACTGCGCACCGCGTGCTCCTCGTCGGCAAAGGTGAAACGGCGAACGTCGCGGTCAGCGAAAAGGATAACAGACCTCGAATCAAAGATCGGTACCCCTCGCGAGAGTTAGCGTGAACCGGTTTGCGATCGGTTAACGGCTGATTAAAACTTTAGACGAGATTTCCGCGGGATCTGGAAGAAATTCTTCAGAAGAATCCCTGTGTGCATTCTCGAAAATCTTAAGCTAATGTTATCTTTTTCAATCTATTCTTTTTTTTAGAAAAAGTTTTCTTCTGTCTATGACTCTCAAATGATTAACATGAGACAATGTTAGTTTCTGGCAAATCAATAATAGTAATAATAATAACAATAATAATCTATTGCAAAGTGCACAATAAAATAGATATAGTTAACAAAGAAACGAAAAGAAATATGAAAGATAAAGTAGCAGATATACAGTTGGAAATTTTTATGTTAATTCAGCACAGGATGAATATGTTAGAGAGTAACGTAAATATTATGGAAAAAATTAACACAAAAATGTAACACTGATACAATTTGTGAGCGAATGTTCGAAGCATATTTTTTCAGTAAAATTAATATTTTGATGTATTAAATTAACACAAATTGTATTTATTCATCTTAGAATTTTAAAACGCATTATTTTTGTTATTTATTTAATTACTCACATTCTATTATTTTGTCACTAATTGTAAGAAATATTGAATATCAATTTAACATAAAATATTTAAATAACACAATTACATGCTAAATCAACATTTATATGTAGAAAATTTAACACAAATACCAAATGTTTTTTACACACAATTGTACACATAAATGTTGAGGCACTAATAAATCAAGTGTCAGAAAAAAAACGAGAGATAGAATTCTTTTCTTTAATTAATTTCAAACAGAATGAAAAAGAGAGATACGAGTTAAAGTTTAATTAAAGTTGGAAAAGATGAACGATTGTATGCTCATCAAGGAGAAATCATCTCCAATTGATAATTAACGATTACGATAACATCCGGTAACGCGATAACGACATCACAAGGGAATATTTTACGAAATATCGCCGAGCGAATATCATGTAAACGTTGCTTGGCAGCGCAATGAGGCTTTCATGCATGACGCCGTCGAGGGTGAGAAAATGAGTTCGTTAATGTACTCGCGACCTTGCGTGGCACGGCGTTCCCTCTTCTCGCAAGTGGATTTCAATGTGCATACGTAAATATCTCTCTTCCTGGCCTGCCTGATCCCCCCCATCACCGACTTCCCGTCCGGGAGTAAGACGCGTTTAGCGATACATCGAACGTCGCGATTTACGATGCGTGACCAGAAGGGCGGGGTGGGGCGAGAGGGACGTTACATGCGTGTCCGAAGACGTCGCGAACACAAACGTGTCCGTGTATAATTATTGACCGTTGTGCCGCTTCGCACTCTGCACGGTTTGGTGACCCACTTGCCGTTGACAACGCCTATTCTCTTCTGACCTACATCGTCATCGACGCTCGCTCACGTCCGTGCGATCTGTTTTTCATGCACAGGAACATCCGATCGACCGACTTCGCTCGTCCGCAAAATACCGGAAAACCGCACGGCGCGAAACAATAATAACGGGAGAGGTACGCAGTCACCCTCGACAAAAATCCCGATATTATCGATTCCCTTTATTCGCCCGGTGTCGTCTTTATTCGTGACTATCGAACAGGACGACCGACTAAAAAAGATGTTATCGATTCGAAATGGTACCGTTAATATGCGCAATTTCATGGCACTCACGCGAAATGTATTTGAGCGGATTAGATAACGCGGAAAACCGCGAAGCGCGCTGATCGCCGTCTTATCGCCATTCCGGCCATCGTTTACTTTAGTTTCTAATCTCATTCCTCATCTTCCTATGTTCGAGATAGAAATTACATTTCCGTCATGAGTTATGCGGAAACTAACCCTTAAATGCCTTTTCGATACGGCATACCCAACTTTTTTTCTAATGATTTTCCAATGCTCACAACTTTTTTGTTAACTCTTTGAGGATCGGAGCTTTCTGACAAAGAAACTTAAAAAAATGTAGTTGGCGCTTTTTCTTACTTAATTGAAAAAAAATTGTTTACATTAATATATATTTATTTTTATGAAAGTTACAAGTAATCGAGTTAGATATATATATATATATACTTGGCTATAGCATATCCAATCTAACTCGATTACTTGTAACTTTCATAAAAATAAATATATATTAATGTAAATTATATATATATATATATATAGTTCCCGTTTAAGGATTAAGACAAGTTATCTTAATATGTATATTAAAAAGAGAAGAGAACTTGAAACGTTCATTTTGTTCCAATAAAAATTCCTTGATCTCTTAAATCTTTTAGAATTTTTAGCGTTCGTCTTTGAAGTTTTATTCGTTGGATTTTTCTCGACAATATCAGTTCTATTTCGGAGACGAATATTTCCATCCTTGTGCTCGCTTCCGTGACTTTCATTTCGAGCGACCCGAATTCCGTTCATCCCGATCCTAGGTGCGCATTATAGCGAATTCGAGCCGCGTATTTTTTGGCGGTTCGCCAAATTTTACTCAACTCTCTTCGTGCGATAGAGAACGAGAATATGCTAAACGTCTTTCCAGCTCTCCGCCGCATCCGCCTCGGAGTCGGCTTGGAATAATTCTTGGCGGATATCCACGAGTCTGTCTGCCGCGTTTTCGAATTGGATTGATTTTCCTAGTATCAATCGACCTACCAGACGGTACAAATCGAGAGAAGGAAGAGAGAGAGAGAGAGAGAGAGAGAAAGAGAGAGAAGGCACTTGATCGATGTTTCGTAAATATACGGTTTGCGTGTGAATTTGGAATTCTATTTCGGTAATTCGAACCTAATCCGGCTTTCAATGTTTGACAACCGTATGATATTTTAGCTGTTCAAAGCGATGATAGCTATTAACACTCATGTTTGCGTATTGGAAATTTCACGACACGCGAGATAGATGTATATTTTTGCGATAGGTAGATGTATATTCTTACTCGCCTTGTGCTCAAATATGCTTATCGTTAACATTGAGTGAGAGATCGAGATAATTAAATATAGTCAAGTGGTTTGAATTTAAAGGAAAAAAACATCTAACATCGAAAATAAAATATATCAGATGGAGAATAAAATACAAATATAATTATATATAATTTCATATTAGGGAGGGAAAAAAGTCATAGCAAACATCCATTTTTTCAGTGGAATACTTGACATTGCATTTATTAGTCATTTTAATTTTTAGACTTTTAAGAATATCTAATATATCAGTTGTATTTTTAATATACTTTTAATCGACAATTTTCCGATTAATGTTTCTGGCATAACTAAACGAAGGCATAACCAGCTGCAGCGTTTGGCCAACGTGAAGGTGCGAACAGGATTGCGCAAGAATATTGCGAAAATTCTTAATATGGAAATGCCTCCGCCGGAATTTAGTTCTGTAATTAAGGAAAACACACGAGCAAAATTCGCTAGTTGTGACAGCTCGGCGAACAAGAATGAAGTACCCTAAATGTAAGAAAACGTATGTGCTCTGATCACCGCGCCCTTGTCTGCATGGATTGCTATTCTGACAGAAATCGAGTCATGCTCTAATATATCACACTTGTTTCTTTCTTTTTTATCAAGAAATTTGTTTTTCGATAAAGATAATAAATATTTTCTACAGAATTTTCACATTATACACATTTTTATTTCCCTCAAAATTATCCATTTTTAATACCGGATGAAAAATAGATCATTGAAAAATTTGAAAAAAAAAACCAAAAGATTCGTGTTCAAATACTATTTTTCCTCTTCAAAATGCAATTTGAATTTTTAATGAATTTTTAATGAATTTTTTCGATAATTATAAAAAAAATGGCGATCATTAAAAAAAAATGTCATTTTTTTCAACGCAGAGTGTGTTTCAGTTTAATGGATTTTTAATTAAAATAATGTTTTTCAACATTTACATCACTGACACAAAATTTTATTCCTTACCTTTTTTTCTTTTTAAATCGAAAAAAAATCAATTTAGCTTTATTGTAAGCGGAGTTATAAACCGCCAAAGTTGGGCGGTGCAAATTTACACCTGTATGCTACGTAAAAGTCGCGAAAGGTGTATGCGAACGAAGTGTTAATACATTCTTCATCGGCGCTTAATAAAATTTCTAACATAACTAATTGTAAGTAATTGCTTCTTCCAAGGATTACCGTTAACAACAATCACCGAGTTTCGTCTAAGATTCATCTATTAATTGTATATAGGTAGGGCACTCGTCTCCACCACCACCAGCGCCGAATTCGGGCCCTGGTTCAGGAGATCCGACGTCTCCTAGATCCGTTCAGAAGGAGAACTCGCCACCTCGTGGTCCTCGAACCCTCCTGCTTCGACGTAGCGAGAATGGCTATGGATTTACGCTGCGACATTTCATCGTCTATCCGCCCGAGTCCTGTCTATCCTACGTGAGTGTCATCGACCGAAGCAAGTGATGCGGGTTCTTGAAATCGACTGAGAATGAAAGGGAATCCCTCGCATGTTGCAGATGCTACCGGGACACGAGCGGACCAAGGTTGACGAGCCCATGGACACGATCTTCGTGAAGCAGGTGCGAGCAAATTCGCCGGCGGCCGAGGCCGGATTGCGCACCGGTGACCGCGTCGTCTCCGTCGACGGGACGCCTACTCGGGGCGAGCAGTACGCCAGCGTGGTACAACGCATTCAACAAGCGGGACCGTGGCTGCGCCTCCTCGTGGTCTCCAAAGAGGATGACATTTTGCAGCGAGTACGTGAGATTTTTTTTGTATTCGCATGAGTAGCAATCTTCCTGTCCGTAAAATGCCATTTATTTTCTGCTTTACTTCCGACGCTCATATTTTATTAACGCGAATTTATTAACGCCGCCGTATTGATTTATCAATTTATCTTAATTCCCAATGTGATTTAATATTTTTTCTGAGCCCATGCTTTTATATAACTACACGAGAACAGCGATTTTAAAAATTTATCTAGGTTTAGGTAGGTACAGATCTGAAACTAACTTTGAAAATTAAATTAATTATATAGGAAACTCAAGCATAGTGAGAGAAACGTTTTGACTTTCTAGCAATCAATTTGTGCGTCTTACATAATTATTTTGATGGTCCAATAAAATTATTTTCAGATCAGTATTTATCTAACTTTTTAGATACTTCAACAAAATCGTTCTTTTGTACAATAAGAATAAACAATTATAATACGAGTAAGAGGTATTTTTCTTAACTTTCTAGTACTTTGGCGAGACGGCGCATAATCCTGAGACGAATCAACGACCGCGGTTGCGTTCTCCGGAGAGGCTGTCGCAGAAGCAACGTAGGTCAATGAGCAACATGATCCCGGGTGGATCACCGAGAACGCGACAGTCTTGGGTTTGTACTCTACCATCGTCCGAGAGTCCAAATCATCTCGAGGAAGCAATGTGCAGGATACCGCCATCAACGATGTCTCAAGTTCCGATTGAATCTCAGATCGCGAGCGCATTGCAGCAGCGAAGAGGTATACCAGAAGCAAGCGCGTTATACGATCTTTCGGAGGATTCTCGAGTTTCTGGAAGGAAGCTGCAATTGCTGCACGAGGATAACGTGCAATCGAGCGGCCGATTGTCCTTGGATTCCAAGTATGATCTGTACGACAGGACGCGACCCGAATCAGTATACTCGCGGCCAAGCAACGAACAGCTCTATGACAGAATCAATGATCCGATTTACGAGCGTGTGCGTGTCAGCGAGCAGCATTATTACCAACCGTCTTTGCTGCGTTATCCGGTGTCGCAGGCAGAGCCACAGGTGCCGATCTACCGGCCGATCAAGCGAATGGTGACGCGACGAGCCAGTGAGGGCAGTGGCAACACTCTCGATTCCGAGACGGCGAGTTACGGCAGCATCGACGCGCTGAGGTCAAGCGAATCCAGCAGATTGAGCATAGAATCGAGACGAGACTCGTCGCCCGCCGCTAGCAAGGAAAGTATGTCTCCCTACGATTCCAATTCGACTCTGACCGGCAACGAGTGTTCTGATGATTCCGTCATCATGAACAGACTTCGTAAGAGCTTCGAGCAGAAGGCGGAATTTCTGCGGCGACCGAGTCATCCCATCGGTTGGTCTCTCGACTCGGCGACATCGCTACTGCCAAATTTCAATCAAGCCTCAGTGATCCAGAGAGAATTCTACGCGAGGCCACAAAAGCTGCAGAGACAGATCTGGCCGCCCAGCCAGAATGAGCAACAGCAGAGACAACAATCTCCTACGAGAAGATCTCAAGAGAGAAACGTCGTTACCAAGACCATCACAAGTCTAGTGAACAAGCCGTCGAATCAGAGTGTGCAGAGGATAAAGGACGTGGATTCTAACTCTGAGTATTCAAAGTCGCGGAACGATCAGCAATTTGAGGACAATCAGATTAATGTCGAAGATCACTGTTACTCGTCATCACTTCTCTATGACAATGAGCTCGCAAAAGAACAATACCGAGGCACAAACAAAGGTAGTTTCGTCAGCATCCTATCAAGAATACACGAGAATATTAGTACGAATCAGCAACAGACATCGCAAGAGACGCGAAACGGTTCCTCGTCACTACCATCTTCCCCGGGGCCGGATAAGAAAGCCAGTGCCGACATCAGGTTTCCGGTACCGCCGCAGGGTCTACAGATCGTTTCGAGACGCGCCAAACAGTTTGAGTCCGGTCGTTTGCTGAGTGACGAGGACGAGCCCGCGGGCGATCGAACAAATCTCTACAAGAGCGAGTTGTCCAGATTGTCGAACAAGAGAAGTGTACCGAATGTGGCTGTGCGAAAACGAGAGTTCGAATCTAAAGCCGAAAATCAGGACTCGAGAAGGCTACCGACCAGAGAAACAAAATCTCTTGACACTGGTAAGCATCAATTAAGAGCAATGCAATCGCTTTTCCATTTTTAAGTTGGTGCAAACTGATTGTCGTTACATTTGTCAAATAAAGTTGACGTTAGAACAAAATTGAAACAAAGTTATCTCGCTACTGCCTTCAATATATTTATTTTTTCATCTGAGGAGATACTTTTCAATTCATAATAAATAAAAACTTCGACGTATTATAACTTTATTTGTCGCGGAACGTGAAAAAGCGACAAATCTTTCGCATCAATCTAATATCTCATTATAGATTTTTATCGACCGATGGTTTGATGGTAATCGCTATGAATCTCACGATTAGGATTAGATCAAACTAGTAATGCTCAGATCAATGCTCAATAAACAAGTATCGTCGTTTAGGTGCAGTATTGACAGGCAACAGAATAATTCCTATAGGCAGCAAGCATATCCATTGCGAGCCACCAGCCGACTATAAAGAGAGTAAAGGTAGATAAAATTAAGAAGCTGTGTCGAATATTGTTTGCATTGTCGTCTTGTGCCGCTCTTGTGTTGTCAGTGATTCGTTTGCATTCAGTGTGAACGCGATCGCGATGTGGCATTAGTAATAACTCGTACTATATTGTGATCATAATAATCATCAATATAGTAGATGATATAATAATTAATGCACCTTACCCGCTTCTCACGCTCTAACTAAAATAAAAGTAGATATATTTTTATTCCTACGCGACATAGATAACATAGCAATTTTAATAATTCATCGTTTAAAACTGCGTGTCTGATAAAGACGCGCGATCTGTCCGAGATTGTTTCCAAGCGGAAGTAACCGGATAAAGCCGTGGAATTTGTCGATATAACATTATACACAAAGGGGACATTAACTGCCCTCTTGCATCCAACGTTTTTGTTGTCGAGCTTCTTACGATATGTCGGTTATTCAAAATAGCAACGACGTATCCGCTGGCGCTTTTACATAGTGACAACAACACAGCACCACGCTATATATACTCCACTTCCGTTGGTTATTAACAAAGCGATAGATGTTGATCGCAATCGTTTATATTAGAAATATAATAATACGCCCTAACGATGCCTACAATAATCCCGTCGTTCAATCGAGTAGATGTGCCTACTATGGAGACAGAATCAGTGCGTTTGAGAGCACGCAGCAACAGTGCGGAGTCCTGGGAAGCTACGAATGGTCCAGCGGCACGAAGCAGCGCCAGGCATACGTGGCAGACCGTCGAGGAGAAAGGTAGTACCGAGGACAACAGTAAAGCCTACCGTAACCAGGACAATTATTTGCAGTCGGCCAAACTGCAAATCGGTTAGTCCCTTCGGCCGCTACCACTTGTCTTTACAGATATACATCGTACACTCACACATGTCCATGTTACATAAAGGTCGAGCATAAAGCGTTAATAATCGTCCCATTGATTTCTCTTTCAGCGCCAGTCAATGGTTCTTCGCCCAACGGCTCGACCAATAACGCCGCGGTACTTAGGCGACAGAAGAATGCACAGATCAGTGAGTTTAAACGATGAAGATATTTTTAACATTACGTGCAATTATTACGACGCATGCGTTAAGCGCGACGAGGACGCGTTTTATCGAAATTGTGATCGCGCTCGCACTTGCACCAGAAACGTCTCTCTCACACGTAATAAATCAGTTATTTAAAGCAGACGCCACTTGACAATACAATACTGTTATAATTCAGCTTGATATCCGTGCAGGAAAAAGTGATTGTTTTTACAAATGTGCATTGAATTATAATAGAATTGTAGTTTTAAGTCTTCTTAAACAATTGATTTATTTATTGAACAATTTAAAACTTTTATCAATGAGTACCGCTATATAGTTATAAATCTAAATGTGTTAAAATAAAAATGAAATAAAATAATAATAATTGGTTCCAAGAATAAATCCAATACAAATAAAATGCTTATGTACCTTTGTGGTTGCTAGTGCGTGAATTATACATTCATAAGTGATAAAATATAATTTACAAGCAATTAGGATGTACCAAAAAGTAAAATGTAAACCTGTGCAGACGTTTTGACTCTAAACTTGAGTCTTGACTTTTTTTATTCTTTCTCTCTTAAACGCATTTTACTTTTAACTTTGTTTGGTAAGTACATTCTAATTGCTAGTCAAATATTTTAACGCTATAAATATATAATTTACACACTGACAATTATGGAGATTTACACAGGTATTTTATTTGTGTTTCAAAACTTCAAAACGTAATTAATTAAAGTAATTAAAAGAAAGCGTCACAATTATAATTTCATGAAACAAAAAGAGGAAACGATATTAAAATCGGTATAATCATAATTTAGGTGACGAGGATCGTGCTACCAGACGGGTTTCGTATCTGAAAGCGACGTGGGGCGAACGAATGCATGTCGATAGTGATTTGGAGCTCAGCGATTCTGAACCTGTTCACATTCACAGAAGGTAAATGATCTTTTATAATTCGTGCTGATTTCAAGTCACCGATCTGTGTTTTCTCAAACGCACAAAGATATTGTCGATAATACGTTTCTCCTCCCATGCTTCTCATAAGTTTTGCTCGCACAAGATGAAATAATGAGCAACGTTGGCAATTTCGTTATCACCTCAAAGGTGTTAACTGTAAGTATGTCTCGAAGCTGTGCACCTGTTCGTGTCCATGTTTCCAGTGCGCATAGACGATGGCGACCGCCGTTATTTCCGAGCGACATAACGCCCCTGCGACGCATCTTTGAGGATATGACGCAGGCCGCGTCCTTACATCGAAACTCTCATCATCGGTGAGGGCGAAAGATTCCGTTTGCGAAGCACGGAAAAAAAAGTTGTATTATCTATGCTCCGCGTCTCCTCTAAGCTAATGTGTACATTTGCCTTCGCTCTCTCACTCTCGATCCGCTCGTCTCTGTATATATACGTTTGCGCTATTTACCTGCCTGTAAATGGTGGCGAGTGACGAATAATCGCGTAGCAATGCTGATAAAGCATGAGAGTTGTATCATGTTTTGTGTATCATCTTTTAGCGACATTTCGAAAAAAAGACACGGCTGTTCATTTGTGTACTGTTTTTCATATCACAAAGTTAAGAAATCTAGAAACTATTAAAAAGATTATTTACATAATAAAAAATAGAATAAAATAAAAAATAGGAAGTTTATTCATTTGTGAATGTCTTTTAAGCGAAACAAATTATTCGAAAAAAATGAAAAACTTTCATCTACTACGCTACCAACAAATTTAAATGAAAAAAAACGCATTAAAGAAAATAATGCTTACGAAAAAATAAATTCAAGTCAGATGAAATGAGAATAAAAAATTAAATAGCTCGAAATTAAAAATGAAATAAAGAGTAGGAAAGCGTAATGAATCAAAAAAAGCTGATAATTTCTCAATAGAGATATACACCGAATATATCACGGCCTCGCAATTCGTACGCGTTAATTGCTCGCGCGTGGCGTTAGATAAGATATCCTTTTTTGTTTATTATTCCTACTGTGATAAGGGACATACGTCCATAGATGCATAAAATGCGACACATCCCTGTTCGTGGCTCTGATATTAAAATCATATGTTGTGTTCGTTCTGTTGTCGTTCTAGATTTCCTGACACGATAGATGGATATGTTAGTGTCCTTTCAGATATTGATTTGGCTGATTGTTACTAACGGAATGACATTAATAAGCTAAAGATCGATGTGACCGCTGTTTTCAGTATAGTTTTTAATTTAGAAAAAGATGAGAATATAGAAAGAAATGTAGTTGTGAATAATATTATGGTAAAATTCCTCTTATTATCTTTGAAATCGAAGATGGACGACTGTATCACTCTATGTAGTTAAACAGAAAGCAGTGCACATATTTACAAACAACGACTTTATTTCTTTTCCAGTAATAGCATTGCTGTGGCGCATAATACCTCAAACAGCTGCGACGAAACTGTAAAGGATGTTGAACCAGTAGAACGGGAGGGAACACTTCATGTTAAATTCACAGTGCTCGATGGCAAGGTGAGATCACAAGTTCAACAAATGAATTTTATTTGGATGCGCTAGAATGCATTGACTATATTTACTTTTTAACTATTTAATAATCCTTTAGCGATCTACCGATCGTTCCTGGAAGCAAGTTTGGGGTGTTCTTCGTGGTCCTATAATATATTTCTATAAGGATCGTCATAGCCAGGTGAATAACATTTAAACGTTACTGTTTGCATATCGATTAGTGACCGACAAACAAAACAAAACATAATATTTCATTGACGCTTCGTTATAGAGTCCTTCGTTGAGCACCGACAGCGAAACAAATGCGGGACAAAGTGTCGACGTTAGATGTTCCGTGGTTGACGTCGCTGAAGATTATACGAAGCGGAAACACGTGTTGCGAGTGGCAAATCCTACGGCAGAGGTGCTTTTACAAACCGAGGATGCAGCATCCATGGCTCTTTGGTTAAGGTCACTTCATTCCCATGCCGCTGCAGAAAAATCATCAGTGAGCATTAATTATAGGATATTTTTTGCGGAATCATTTAAGTTAGAAACAATAAAAAGGAATAGATGAAGATACGGAGCCAATACTAAAAGTCTTCTGCTATTCCTGTTTTAACAATTTCGAATTATCCAAGATTCCTTGTTACATAAAAACATATTCATTTACAGGACGCTGTATCTTGCACGTCGAAGCAGCAAGCCGTTCCGCAAACTCCCACAACTCCGAATAGCAGCATTCCTCCGAGTAATATCCAAAGATTGAGTCCTCTGCCGAGCCACAAAGGCATCAAGAAATTAACGTCATTTAGGAATCGATCGCCAACGGGTCAATCGCCGGTGAACAAGACGCGCAAACCAAGTAATCAGATAGTGGAACCTTTACCATCGCCTAAATCGAAAACTTGGAAAGGAAGAATGGCAAAACAATTTAGGAGAATGCACGGTCAAGCCGGTGGCGCGCCATCCTCACCTACGGCGCAATTACCACCAGAAGGGGCCACTTTCAAAGTACCTCTCGAACTTTGTCCGCCATCCTCGTTCTCCGAGTACGTGCCGCTGATTGTCGAGATGTGCACGAGCATTGTCGAGGCGAGAGGACTTGAGGTTGTGGGCATCTACAGAGTGCCAGGAAACACTGCTGCGATTGCCCAACTCACGGACAGTGTCAACAGAGGTTTCGAGAACATCAACCTTCAGGTATCCTATCTGACTGCATTCGCGAGATGGATATTTTTCTCGAGATTTTTTGAGATTTGACTTATTTTCTTCCACAGGATCCGAGATGGAGCGACGTTAATGTAATATCGTCGTTACTAAAGTCGTTTTTCCGACAACTTCCTGATTCCTTGCTCACAGCAGAGCTGTATCCCATGTTCATCGACGCCGATAAGATAGAAGATCCACAGAGGAGAATGACCACGATACGAAAATTATTACGAGATCTTCCAGAACCTCACTTTGAGACGCTGAAGTTTTTAATGCAGCATCTAAAGAAGATAGTAGAGCATAGCGAGATCAACAAAATGGAAGCGAAAAATTTAGCCATTGTTTTCGGACCAACACTAGTGCGAGCAAGTGGTTCAAGAGATAATATGGTCACTATGGTCACCGATATGTCGCATCAATGTAGAATAGTCGAGAGTCTACTGAATAACGTAAGTCTTCATTAAACAAGGAAAACGCCGTTTTTCTTAAGGGCTAGTATATAAAATATCGACGTGTTTCGGTTCAATGTGTTTCAGGTCGATTGGTTCTTTTCGGAGGACGATCTAGACGATTTAAGCAGATTGAGCGTAAATTTAAGCCTTCCAACCGACAGTTGCGAAGTTGAACCAGCATCCAATCATAATCTTTTATTAAACAACATTCAGAAAATCGAAGGTCATTATATGTATTATTTTTTACGTGTTACATCATATCTACTTTCTTACGTATTATTTCATATTCAGTCATTTTTCTTATCTTCTATGTACTTATCTTAAACACAAACTTTATTTTCGTTCTTTTTTTATTTTATTACTGACACTGTTGGCACTTTTAAAAATAATTGAAGCATGCTATACATTTTATCTACAAAAGCAATGTGTTTATCTTTTCTTTATTAATCAAACAGGCATGCGCGATATGGCATCCGCTAGAGACATCGTATCTTCAATTATATCCGCAGCTAATAAAAAGATACAAAGAAGACGAAAGAATCAGGATGAAATTGACAACAATGAACATGATAAGGTTGGTATTAATTATTTATGATTATAATATAATATTATATCATAATAAATATTATATTACATTATATTTATTATATTATATTATAATCATAACTTTTTTGTCTATGTACATATCGACATATTAATTTAATATTTAATAAATTAGATCAAGTCGAAGCAAGAATCGGAGAATTTGCCGACGATTCGACAGAGTATGGCCTTAAATGAACGACAGTGTTCCGTCAGCGAAATCGTGCAGATGCATGAGAGCAAGAGTCAATCGAATCATTCTACGGATCGTTCTCTGTCGGTTGACGCGAACAATAGTGATTTGTCACACAAAACGTCTTCGTTGAGTCGTGCCAAATACGCGATTCAATCCGCACCTCCATCTGTAGACTCTACGAGATTGTCGATTGACACTGGTCTAAGTTCAGCGGAAACGAGCTCCACTGTGTCCAGCAACGCATCTAATCAGACGAAGCAAAGTAACGACGAAGTAACGATTTTAACGTACGCCGGTTTAAGCGCGACCACGCAGGAGAGAGTACGACGATTCGAGGAAGAAACGAAAGCGATGCTGCAGAGAGATCAGCATCGACAGAAGCTCGAAGCTGAGAAAAGGGAGGAGGAGAAACGAAGAATTGAGATAGAGTGGCAATTGGCGAAACGAGAGATGGAGAATGACGATCTGCTCGATAGTATAGTTGACACTACGGTATCGCCAAGTCTCTTATCAGAACGTCTCTCCGGTTTAAACGAGAGACTTGCCGATAAATCATTAATAAATCTGCCTGAAAAACATGGCAGGTCGCGATCGACCACGAGACCACCGCTATCCATAGCCGTGCAACAACATCCCACGATACATAAAAAAACCCAAGCTAGCAATCAACTAACTAGCATACTAGGGGAAAAGATGAACAACGGCGTCATTAAGAAATTTAAGACGGATAAGGATGTAAGCTAATTACGATTTTTGTTTGAACGATTATGGCATAGTAAAGGTGTGAGTCAATTGTTTTTTATACTGTGATTTATCAAAATCAACACAAGTAAATTTTCAAGAAGTAGAAATTGACTTGCGCATTACTTTGCCATTTGACAAAAGGTCTGTTTGCGTTGCTTGCACTTTTTGCATTTGAAATCTTTGCTTTCTCTCGTTTTAAGTGCAAACATATTTGAGGGTTTCAAGCAGTGCGAATAAACCTATTGCGTTTTATTTTCGACTAAGCTTACTTACACGAATTTATTGGTGTTACAGCCGTCGATGGAGTCGATTTGTTTACCGCCAGTTCGATACGGAAGTCTGGACTCTTTGCACGAAGTTCACAATTTCTCGCAGTCCTCCCCGTCACCATCGCAGCAGCAACGAGGTGTTCCCGGCGACGGCTCGGATGATGGTTAGTATCACATTCTTTTATAATTTCATGTAATGTCGTGTTCTGAGTCTTCTCATATGCACTAAATACCGAAGCAAATTTTTCGTGCTATTGATATATTTCCAGAGTTATATATAGCGATAAATACGTAAAAGTGTATCTGTGTGAAGCAGTGTATGAACACACGACAATGTTTTTCTCTTGTACTCGACAGGAATATTTATAGATAATTAGCGAATATCATATAAATGCTGATAATCGGAATTTGAGCGAGCTATAAAAGGTCCATATATATACATATATATAGTGTATATGTTATATGTATAAATAGGGCTGCGCTAGAAAAATAGCGATACACGACCAAAAAGACAATTCCGTCGCTATTTCTGCAGCATTTCGTGTATATATTAATTTCATTTGCATATATATTGATTCTTAAAAAAAACAACGCGAGAGTTAAAGCTGCAAGTTTTGATATAGTAACGTGTTCATTGTATAGGAAAGAATGTAGGTACATCATTGCTTGTCACTTTTCATTTCTCCGCGGATATATATAATATATTCGACTTCTATTTCTTAAATCCGTGTACAATTAGGACGCGTACTTTCTATCCCGTAATATATATCTGCCTCTCTATTCATATTCTCTTTTATATCTTTTTTCTCTGTATAATATCGCTTCTGACGATCGGTGAGTGTAGCAGGATCTTGTTTTCTGCAGTGGACACAGAAGATACTCACTATTAACAAAAAGCTTTCTAGGTACATTCTCTCTTCTTATTTGCTTCAAACGATTTTTGTCGATTAATTATACGATTATAAAGTGTATGTTACAAAGTTATCACATCATTTTATGGAAATCTTTCGATTCTCTTACGTTGCGTTCGCCATTATTATCGCGCGAACATAGTTCGGAGCGTAGCAACTTATTTCGCATATTCTTTAGTACGAACACATGTTCACGACACACGAGGCTTTTTGTAACGAAAACAGATCTTTAATTTTAGAAAATACTTATCTTAGTATTTTCGCGACCGAGCGCAAGGAGGGTCGGCCACAGAAAGAGCGCTGGATAAAAAAAGAAGAAGGAACAATACCCACGCAACACATTTTGTCCGAAGGACATCGCGTGGACGTCATAATAGCTGCACGTCATACCGTGATATGTGATATGTCTTTCGGATGGGGTGTACTGTGTATATATATAGTCTTTGGCCTATTATTAGACAGATTTTTGATAGGTTCATCTTGAGTGATCGATTTTTCTTTTTACATATCTAAAGTAAGGTTTTCTCATTTGTTTCTCAATTAATAAAAATATAGTTTTGTTAGTAATCATTAAATATTTTTTTTTTTAATAAAAAGATATATATATGTTTTTTAACTATTTTATTAAGTCACTATTGGCAACTATTAGATTGATTTATTAGATTTATTATCTTGATTGTAATAATATATAATATTTAAATTAAATTTTATACTAATAAATAAAAAATAAACAAATAAAACGGAATTTTTTTATAATAGAAACGGAAGACATATGAGTATTTTTCTGTCTCTTTTACAACTGTAAAGAGTTCATATTTTTTTTATATATACATTGTAAGCGGCGGGTGAATTAAAATATCTATTTTATAGACAACTATTTTCTTTACATATTTCAATCGGTTACAACAATGATGATAAATCTGATTTTTAAAAGTCAATAAAAAGTATGATGCGTCTAATAATATGGCCAGGAATAGTGTATATCTTTTTCCGAGTTACACGCCGCGCCTGTTGGCCGATCCTCTATTTATACGCTGTTGTCATGTGCTGCATGCCACTCTTTGGCTTTCGGCGTTGAGAAAAAAAAAACAGATTTATTTCACACTGGCTGCTTCTGCGATCTTCAGCGATTTTTTCTCATAGATGTATAGTCGACGTTGCAAGGACTGAGAATCTTTTTATCTTATTTTCATATTTGATATCGAACAGGAGAAACAAGATACTCCTATTGGATATAATTATTGTGAAAATAATTAAAAAGAAAGTATATTCGAACCCTTCTAACGCCAGCTATGCGAATTGTCGAATAAATAGTTTCTCTTCGCATGCATGTCCTTGGAGGATTTATTGTAAGCGCTTCGAATGATTCTTCAACCGTTGCTTGCCTTCACAATGATAACTTTTTTAGAAAAGTCACACTTTACGTCTCGATCACGAGCAATTTCTTAACGATACAGTTTGAAGGCATTTTCTCACACGTGACCATCGTAAGCGATAAGTTTGATGGGGCGGCTGTTTTGACTGTTAGCGAAAGTAATCTAGTCTCGCACCTTCCCATCACACACGTGCGCATCTCTGAATTTCACACTTTATCTTACTGCTCGTCTGCCTGCCTAATTATGTCGTTAACGACTGCCTCTGCCGATTGATTGTGCTCTTAATTATAAACTGATTATCTGCCCGCCTCAGTCTACGTCTTTGCGATCAGACACGCCCGAAAAAAAGAAATGATTTCATAGTTGGCCCGAGACGGCGTATTCCTTCGAAGATTCATGGGCTTTAAAAGGAACGAGGACTAAATTCGTCGACGCTCGATCACGGCTGAGAAATGGCTAAAAATTCAATTTTCCTTGCTCTTTATCTCCGCGCTTTTCTCTCTTTTTATTATTTTTTTTTTCTTCCTCTTCGCTAAGCTCAGTGTTTAGTCTCTCCGTCGTGCAATGCATTTATTTCCGTTTTTTTGAGCGGATCTCAAAAAGATAATCGAACGCGGCGCCAATCGGCTCGTGAGGAATATACTTCGGATAAGAGTAACAGCTCGGATAGAAAACCATAAAGACAAACGGTGAGTCCAGACGCAAAGGAGGAAGACGAGAGGAAGAGATTAGTGCTCTGCCGCGCCGGCCGTCACGAATTGTATGACGAATGCGAATGACGAAACGAAATGGTTGAATACCACGTATAGGCACACAGCAAGCCCGGGTTTTTGGTGGTACATATCGTCCCACCTATACGGTACCGCAGGTCCCGGTAGCGCCGCCCCGAAGACACCGATCCAGTCGCCAATGCCAATGCCCGTGCCCGTGTCAGTACCATCAGCAGGAGCAACAGCATCAACAACAGCAACAGCAGCCGCAGCAGCAGCAGCATCATCGCTGGCAACTGTTGTCGCGTCTGCAGCCGCATCATCGGCGACCAACGAGCCCACCACCACCGCCAAGACTCTAAACCGATTCCTCCGAGGTAAATTACAGGTCCGCTCTGCCAGACCAGAGTCTGGAAATCAGCCGCATCCAGCATCCGAGATGTCCAACGAGTTGACAGCTGGCTCACCCGAATGGCTTTGACACACTATTTTCAATTTTACATACATTACCAAGCACGCGTTCATACACGCAGACATACATACGTACACATTGTTATTTGTGTAATACTTTTCCTACGACTAACCGTCTATTATACATCCGTGCCACGTCCATTTCTCTCGTTCACGCTATTCACCTATTCTCGTTCGCGTTCATCTTTCGTTGCGCCTAGTGTGGTAAATTCGCTGTAAACTCCGTCAGTATCCTCAACTACCATCGAGGAGAATGTGAGCGAGTCTCACGGCTTTCACGCGCGCAATAACGCTGGAGATTGTTCCCTCGTTTTTTTTTCTTTATTTTGACTCGCTAGACAGGAACTACCTCGTCTTGCTGGTGGGCAGGAGTTGCGCTCGACGAAACCTGCATCGTTTCCCCGTGCTATTTTATTTTTACCGTTTGTGCTGTTCGGATGTTTGAGCGTATGATTATGAATGGATTCTATAACATGTACGGCGTTACTAATTGCAAAAATGTAACACGTTATTTAGAATGGAAAGTATTTTACGCAAAGACATATCGAATCTCGCTCTAAAAAAGCGATAATGAATTTGGCGATTTTAGCGGATGTTGTTTCAGTTTTTGATAAGTATTTGTTTAAGTATTTTTTTGTTAAGTACACTTGGGAAGAACGACTTTGCTGAAGTAAAAAATTTAGCTAGATACAAATCTGAAAATAATTATGTTGGATGCCCAAGCTGTTAGAATATTTTTTTGCTAGAAAACTTTTTGCAGTCTTGCTGATCATGCTTGAGCATCCTACATAATTACTTTGATGATCCAACATATATTTTCAGATCTGTCTTTAGTGACAAAAATTTTCATATCTCATATTATTTTTTATAAGAATTTGTCTTTTTCTAATTTATGAAGATTTTCGGAAAAAATGTAAACTTCTTTAGATTTTATAAGTTTCTTTTTCAGAAATTATAGAATGAAAAATTTTTTTAATTTTAGAATATTTCAGAATTTTTACATATAACAGGCCTGGACAAAATATATCATTAAAGTATTTGACATACAAAATATTTCCAAATTTTTTATTTGAAATACAAAAATACATTGAATAACCTTTTATTTGAAATACAAGATACAAATTACGTTTCAAATACAAGTATTTGAAATATGCTCAACCCTGACATATATAGGAAGAATTCTAGAAAAGATTTAGACTTTTTCAATACTTCTGAAAAGTATTCCAATATAAGAAATTTATATATAAGAAATTTCAAAACTTTTTAAAAAAGTAGGAAATTATAAGTAGAAAAGTAGAAATTCTGAAAAATACTAAAATTTGTATTAAAATTATGATAAATTACAACTATAAATTTTTAGATACTTTAGCCAAGTCGTTCTTTTTGTGTATATTTTATATGATTTTGAGCTTCTTAGCAATACCGTTAATATATTGTTTTTAAATATTTTTGTACATCGCGTATCTCTCGTCTTTTCTTTTTAATTTCTATTTTTACATTACTAGACGCCCTTTATGAAAGTTGCAATTTACAAACATTTACTTACAACATTACGTACATCTATGTACATATTTTTCTCTATATTACGTACATATCTTTCTCATCCTGTGTTTTCAATTGTTTAAAGACATTTTCTTCATCATTTTCATGCTTCAGCACGAAAAAAAGAAAAGGCGTTGATGATGCTAATTATATTATTATTGCAATGTATACAGCTGTCGAAACAACGATTATTTTATTAATAACAACAATAATAACCGAGTGATATGAAAATGCTGATAAGAAATTGAAAATGATAATTAATCAATTCTTTTGTAACAATTTTGCGTTTACTATCGACGGTGTTTCGATGCTGCCATTGTTATTGTTTATATTATTTCTATTGCAGTTTTTTTTTCG